ATGATTACAATATGTCGTGTTTAAATTAATTTATACAAAAATACAATTATAATTTAAAATATTGCGCTCAGCACTCTCTCTTTATAAGGTACGATATTAAAACAAAATATTATTGTTCGATTTACTGTATAACTGCATATAATATTCGCATAATATCGTAATTTATTGAAGCATCAGCGTGGTATTTTATACATGCAAAATGCCGATTACGTAAAAATACGTAATAATAATAATAAATGCTCTGTGCGTTTAATACTTCTCTCACACAAACGCACAGGAAGTGGATGGTATATAAAAAATAACTTAAAACAATTAGAATATATATATTTAATCGTTTTGTATTAAATCAGAAAAAAATATTATTAAATATTTTCTCTTTTCTAATTATAACGCTCGAAATATATTTTACGTAACGCCGCAATTTAGCGTTAAAATATATATCTTATATGCACTCGTGACGCATAGAAATTTCGAGATAACGCGGTTTATACGCGCAAGAGCAAAAATTTCACAAAAAAAATATATAAAATCAAACTATTTAAATTTTGTAAAACTAAGATACAATATATATACATGTCGTAATTTCTATATTTTTACGGCAATATTAAAACAAAATATATTTACATTCGTTGTGTTATTACAACGCCCGGCTTTCAACGTCGCAATTTAACGAAGCGTCAGGCCATTTGTATATTTAATTAAATGTCTCCAGCGACGAGAATGTTATTAAAGCAGATTAAATTTCAAAAGAAGAAGAAAGAATCGTTGGCAGTTTACGTTGAGCGCGCCCGTGGTGTGCTTAAATATAACAGAAGAATTTACGTCGAGAATCGTATATTCCCGCGGGACGGAAAACCGTGTAAACGGCATTATATCTCGGTCTCCGAGGAAAAAACAAGGAGAGAGAACAGGTTGGGGAGGGAGTTACTGTCGCTTCAATCCGTAAGATTTCGTTTCAGACCGAGTCAAATATCTTCGCTAAGTCGAAAACCTTTGGATAATGATAAAACGGAATTGAGTTTAAAACTACTCGTTATCAGATATTTCGGCAGATTGCGTTTTCTCATTTGTAGTTTGTTCCCGCATTTTTTTTTTTTTTTCCGGATCATTTCGATTCCGATAGATATATTTAAGATTGTATTCGGGGTAAGATCTCAGTCAAAAGTTTAAGAAACATAGCGTAAACCGAAGCTATTTGAATATTTAGATAATAATTGTTTGCTGGAAAAGTATTATTTGTATTAAAATAAGTTTAAAAAAAACTATTTATTATACTTTTAACAACTACGAAAAAGTTTTCACATATATTTTGTGTGTGTGTGTGTGTGCCATTTTAATGTTCACTTTTAATACTTTTGAGTAGGATTATACTCTACTTGCAACATAAGATAAATAAAAAACTGGAAATGTATTAATCATAAAAGTTCGTTAAAACGTAACAATTGATGTATACAATTACAAATATAATTGTCTTATGTATATTAAATATATATTTTTATTAATTTTAGCAAAATATAAATTTATATTTTATGCGATATTCTCCAAATGACTACTTTATCGAGTGGAATTTGTTTTTAAGATATTTATTAACAATTGCAAAAAATTTCAAAAAATTACGGCATATCTACATCTACAGTTATTTTTTAATTTATATCAGAATATCGTGAAACCCCATAAGAACTCGTGTTAAATTAAAATCGTACTGACTTTTTAACAAGACTCGCAAAGGAGCTGAAATTTTGCACAATGTTTGTTTTTTATATTATCTACTGACTGGCAAAATTTAAATAATCTGGCATATCTTTTATCTTACCCTGAATACAACCTTAAACATTTAGAAGTGCGTGCGATTTCTCTTTGAAAAGTTCCAGTCGGCTTTATCGTAATCACGTCGGATGAACAAATATTTATTTGCCAAACAAGTCTTCCTTGCACATTGAAGAAAGATATATAGCGCGTGCCGTGATAAATTTGCTTGTTATTTGAAATGTTAATTAATTTTTTAGTCTTAGCGACAAAAGATATCGTTGATGAAACAAAAAAACTTAATAGGCTCAGCAAGTTCGTTCCCGCTATCGACGTAAAGTATGAAACATTTATTTCAAACAACTTTTGTTTTTTTCAATCTGTTTCGTGTGTGTTTCCATCCTCACGATGTTCCGCGCAACATTGACAACGGAGCAACAACGGAGCTCTCTACGCTTCGATTTGATGCAATTGCACTTTGGCGAGCTACGCAGTGGTTTTGCGTAACAATGAGAGAACGAGAGAGACGCCAGGCGTTAGCCAAGCGATCAATAAGCAATTACATCAGATATATCGGCAATGTCGATAATGTATCGACGCCCATTGTCATGTCGCTTTAAGAGTTGTGCGCGAGGCACTGTCACGAAGAGCGAAGAGGATGGAGAGGCTAAGATCTATCATCCCGTGTGTACACGGTGTCGTCACGTGTCTGACGCGCTACCGGCCGCGAACAATCCCCCCCCACGGTAGGGGGAGTTGTTCCCATTGTCTCTGGGACGGCGCGGGATCACGGTTCAAAGGATTCTAATCGAGTTCGTCCAGTAAATCCGCGCGCGATCCGTCATCGGGATTCGGGTTATCCCGCACGCACGCACGAGCACTTTCGATAATCGCGCGGGAGCGCCGGGCGCGGTGTTTGCGCAAGAGAGCCTGTGAGACCATTGTGGTTGCGTAAACGCGGCAATCGATTTCGCTAAATCGATTTTAGAGGCGCGGCTGACCGACCCGTTTCGGAAAATCGTCCGGCTGAAGATGATGCGTATCCGTGATTTTAACGTTACGAGTAAAAAGCGAATGACTGCGAGCTCCGCACACGCTAAATCGATGGAATTTCTCGCGTATGAAATTCCATCGATGGTTTTTTTTGATCAATCAATCGGTGGTTTTTTTTTTTTTTTGTTTTTTTTTTTGTTTTTGTTTTTAGAGATGCAACCATTTCCAATAGGACGGACGAGTGAGGAACTCGAAATTGTTGTGATCACTCTCGCATAATCACTTTCTCGCAACTGCGAGGCAAATATTGTATACTTTCGGCTGTGAAGAGAGACGCGATATAAAATATATTGCCTTGTGCGCGTTTTATTATTTCGTTTTCTCTCTTTCGCTCTTTCTTTCTTACTATAAATTTTATCTTGTTTTCTTGCAAAAAAAAAAAAAAAGGAAAGGACGGAAATTTCTTTGAAACAAATTACATGAAAAGCGAAAAAATCTGTCTCTGTGCAAATTGAAGAGAGAAGATTTTCTCGCGCGAAAATTAAACAGATTATGTTTCGCGCGCTTTTGATTCGCTCGAGATTGCGTCGTCGTGTTAAAAGGAAGAAACATTTAAAACGAGTAAATGGTATGCGCGAGCAATACGCCGCGCGCGATTCAATCACGTCCGAGACGTAACAATCGATTCCTTTAAGAACGGAGTGGATATATATATATATACGAGTTTATCTCTCTGCCATAGATAAACCCATAAAGTACGTTTCTCTGTTTGCATCGTTCTCTCCGCGAGAGCGTAGTCGCGTGTTTGGCGCTCAACGAAACGGGAGTTTCTCGCGGAAGAGAGGATAGAGAGGCAGCAAGAAGGAGATAATGCGAAGCGGAATTTCGCAACATGTCGACGAGTAGTTATGATACGATTGAATCAGACGCTGCAACAGAATGGGTTTCCATATCCAAAGCGTCCTGCGTCAGAATGTAAATCCGCGCGCATGGAATTTCATCTCTTGCTTGATCGTAGCGCGCGCATGCAAATATTTGGGATCCCGAGGCGCGTTTATAGAAAATTTCGTTTCCGCGCGTCTCTCTCTCTCTCTCTCTCTCTCTCTGAAATTTTCATGTTCTTTCGAAAACTCTCCCTCTCTCTCTTGCGGCGGTTCCTCCTTTAACGCGTTAACGTCGCACACGCCTCGGTGAGTTTAGAGGTTTTTTAATCTTACATTACAACGTTAAAATAAACACACCGAGACAGTGTTCTCTTTAAACTTTAAACGAGAACTCGCGTTTAATAATTCTCTTCGACGTATTATATTTTCAAAATCTCGCGTCGCGTAATCAGCTTGTAAATTATCGTATTCTCGATGGTGTTTCTCTCAAACCTCTCTCTCCTTCTGCGTATGACGCAGCTATTTACGTCAAAGCATGTGTTCCTGCTATGAAATTTTCTCACGGCGAGCGAGTGCTCCAATCTGCCGCCGTCGCTCGATAACACACCGATCATAAATTCCTATACGTCAGGACGATACATCTCTCTTGGGTATCCGGCACTCGTGGATTCTGTCGCAAAGCGGCAGGAAGAAACGCGATATTCATCGAGAGACGTGTGTTCAATTTAGTCTTGTATCTCCGCGTAAAAAAAAAAAAATTCGATCTCATTGCGATATTCATAATCTTCATTTTTTTTTTTTTTTTTTAAAGAACACATATCTCTCTGTCGAAATAAAGCGATTTAAAAAAAATGTAAAAATAATGTACTACGTAAAAAAACACACAAAGTTGTTAAAGTTTTTTTGTAAAATAAAGATTTGTAAAAAAGAAAACAATAAAACAAAAAAAAAGAATAAGATTTTGTTAATAATTTACGGCTTTTTTTCTGAGAAGAAAGTCCCGCGCGAGTGCAATTCGTTCAGCTCCGTGTTATTGCTTTATATTCCACGTGCTTTACATGCCAGAGTTTCCGTTCGCTCTACTTGGTCCAATACGGACGGTTGTCGTAAGTTTCGAGAGGTGCTGCGCAACTTTACCGAGAGAGGGGTATCTGAAGAAGGATGAAATTGCGCTGCACTTTCGCGCATCGTCTTAGCGTTCTTAATGCCACGATACAGAAAACTTTGTCGGTATCTATCCGTTCTTTCGTTTCTTGCTTGCTCTTGTCCGTCTCGTTCTCTCTCTCTCTCTCTCTTTTCTCCCACTCCCGCCGAATCGCCTATCGTCGAGACGGGGCAAACGTCGGGGCTTTCAACTCTACGTGGAAATAATAAAAGAGACACAAGAAAGAGAAGTCCTTCCAGTTTCCGATATCGCGAGAGAACGAAGGGTGCGAGGTAAGGGTCCCTCTCGTCGTTGCGAACACCACTGTAACTTCCTCCTGCCGTTATCGGTAAACAACGTTTATTTCCTGCCCGTTGTTGTTTCCTTTTTCTTCTTGCCGGAGAAAGAGCACCTTTGTCCCGGAAATTTAATTACGCGCCGCATCGGCGCGCGCGAGCGTATGGCACGGCTGTTTTGTTTTTTTTTTTTGTTACGCTCGTCCGTCTTTCTTTTTAATAATGAATCACGCGAAAATTTATACGTAGCGAAGTTTCACGGTCTACGGCGCATGCAGAGAAAGAGAAGAGAAGAGAAAAGAAGAGAGAGAGAGAGAGAGGGAGAGAGAAACAGAAGAGAGTCTCTCTTTCTTCCACTCACGCTGAAAATTAAATATTAAATTTTCTATCGTTCATAAAAAATAATATGCCGATCTACTGTAAGAGAGAAGAGAAGATTATCGATTGGCATTCTTCGTTATAAAATCATTTAAAACTTCCTCCTTATTTCTAAAGCTTTTATAAAAACGCGTCGCAATTTTTTTTTTTTTTTTTTTATAAAACCATTGATCGATTATGTAATTACTCAATTTTCTTTTCACGGCGCTACAATGATTCAAAATCAAATTAGCATTTATAATATTCTGCTGTAAAAAATTATATCATCGTGTATACGCGCGTGTATTTCGGACAGTCGAGTATTTTAAATAGTTTATTAGTTTTTTTTTTTTACACAGATTTATTTTGCACACATATACATATTTTCTTGAGTAAGATTATTAGAAAATTACCGGTTTGCATTGCGTAAATTTTGATTTGAATGCTTTCTGTATTAAAATTTACTATAAATAAATAGGGTGTGTATATGTCTCTAAGATTATCATCAGCTTTGTTCGAAACATACACATATACCAGCATTGTCACGCGCTCAAACATCATAACAGTAGTGTCATTCGCACGGTTCAGATCGGGGTTTACTTGTTTGACTGGGTTACGTGATTATCTCAAGAGAGACGAGAACAATCTCGCAGAAACACAGCACGCATTACGGACAGGTATAATTTAAAAAGAAAGTATTATATTATTTATTAAAAACAGTATTTTATAATGTATCACTTATAAAACTGTCTTCTTTTGCAAAAACAGAAATAATGTAGAATTTCGTTATCAAAGTTTTGATTGTTATTGTTAACATAAACGTTGCGCGCACAAAGATATACCTGCTTTGTGACATTGTAAGACATAAATATACAATACTGTTGTAATTTGCAAATTGTAAAAGTTCAAACAAGTCCGTTATCTTTGCTAATGTTAAAAGAGACGCGTATCAACAAGAAAATCAATTTGTACAGTTTACTAAAACCGGATAAATAAATAGAAAGTTCGTTGGAAATCTGGGAGCAAAAATGCGTATGGAAAATACAACACAGAGATAGTTTGAGAATACGATTGAGAATAGTGTATAGCAGACGTGTAAAGTATTGACGAGAAGACAAAGAGAAAATACTTCTCATGGATTTAAGGAAGAGAAAAATTTCTTCAGACATTTCGTCAGAGCCGTCCTCCTCCAGCAATGTCAGCAAAAGCGTTAAAACCACAATTTCTGACGAATCATTAAGTAAAGATCAAATAGAAAAGGTATATCATATCAATTATTACGATAAATATTGTAGCGTAATCATTAATTCGATCGTAAAATTGTCAAGAAATTGAGTTGAAAGGCCGATCCGAGCAGTAAAATACAAGTTGGTCGTGTATCACAAAAAGTCTTTATTAAATCAGTACACAGTGTCCTGTGCTGACTGTTTTGGATGCTGTCTGCTCGCGTGTTATCTTTTTCAAATCACATTTGTATACACTGAAGAAGGTCCAAACCAGTGACCGAAACGTCTGTGTTATTTAATAAAGACTTTTTGTGATACACGACCAACTTGTATTTTACTGCTCGGATCGGCCTTTCAACTCAATTTATTGTAGCGTATAACTTCTATGTGAAAAAATTTTTCTAATAAAAAAACAAAGAAACTTATGTTGCACGCAATGTATGTTTCAACTGGATAATAAACAACATTTCTCACTTAGTACATATATATCGCGCCTTATAATTGTAATAATCATCATCTTCTCATCTCGCTACGTTTGTGTTTTGAAGTTTACATTTGTTGATTCGCTATTAATTTAAAGTTGTTTTTTTTTCTAGATAGTAAAATATATTTCGGAGAAACGTTTTGTGACGAAGATGACCTATTTGCAACTTCGAAAGTTAGAGGCGTTAAGCAAAAATGAAAACAATATTACTATCTTAGTGTGTATATTTAAACATATGAATTCGTTATTCAAAAACAGTCAAATTTCTAAACATCAAACTGACAGTACCTACATTAGGGTATGACACAAATATGTAATACGATATACACATTATTTGTACAATAACGCGGTTGAAAAACGCGTTTCGTAGATCTCAACAGAAAATTGATTTAAAGTCACTTTATACATCACTGTGAAATATTGTATAACAAATGTAAAATGTACTTGCAGGCGAAAATGTTGGATATTATGAGACAAATTATAAATGAATTAGCAGATGAAAAGAAAAAGATGTATATCGAGGAAATAAGCAATAATATGTATCTTGCTAGATTTATTTTGGAATATTTTGATCTAAGTGAAAATAAGATCACGATACAAAAAATAATTTTTCAATTTCAAACATTGATAGTGACTCACGTTAGAGAATCCCGAAATAATCCGTCAAATTGGGAATTTCACTTGCTGCATTATAATTATTTTGTCGGAAACAACATAATATGTTTATTGCTAAATTCTGCTAAAGGTATACCGATGCAATTTTTTATCATTTAAAATAATAAACAATTTAGTTCCTTTTGTTTTGTTTTTTTTGTTCATGTATGCAAATTGGTAAAAATTTCATTGCAGACGATGGCGTGCTGATGGAGGGAATAACGATGCTTGAGGCATTATCTCAAAATATATCTATTACAACCGATTTCTTAAAACATATGTTTAATTTAAATAACTTAGCGTTCACAGCAATAAAGTGTTTTTGGAAATATGACGCTACACAACAAATCCAAACCGACACATTCGCCCAATCGTTGAACTGGTGGAAGTTTACAAACAAGTGGCAGAACTTAATTATCAACATCAATGGTAGAAGTTTATTTTTACATGCATGTGATGACATCACAAATATAACATACGAAAACTTGTGTATTTTGAGAATCGCAAACTACATACTGCATCGTAACAAAGATTCACTCGAGTCTTTGTCCAAGAAGACGTACGTAATATTTTTTTTTTTTTTACTACACACACTCATATATTTTTGTCATTTACGTTATTTCTGTATTTACGAATCTCTCTCTTTCTCTCTCTCTCTCTCTCTCTCTCTTTTTCTTTCTTTCTTATTCACTAATATACTTTTTTTTTACTTTTGTTGTTTTTTAATTTTTATTTGTACGTAATATTTATTTCTTTTATTTTATTTCAATGTAAATTTACAACATCTTTACTTTTACTCAATGTATTGCTTGAATTTTATTTTGTTGTACATTTTTGCTCGTGCTACTTGCGTTTTACGGCGACATCCCAGAGCGCATTACTAATAAAGCCATTTATCTACCTTACATATCTATATCTCTTTATCTCTTATCTTTATCTTTTTACAGTTTAGCAATGTCTTATCCCGCATTGTACAAATGTATACTGCTATTGCAAAACATTCCACTCACCGTGTACACGCCACAAATTGATCGCTGTATAACAACAATCTTACAATGTCACGACTCGAGGCTACAAAAAACGATTGAAAGTATAAATGGTATAAATTTTACATTACGTGTAAAATTAGAATATTTTTCTGCTATATAAAACGCGGTGTGTATTTCAAATTAATTGAATAACTGTGTTTTCAGAAAAACAATCGAAAACGAACGACAAAAATTTACAGACTTTACAAGACGATATAAGCATAATGGAGCAATATTTTTACAACGTAAACAAAATGAGGCAATATTTGGAAGAAAAGCGAGAATATTGGAATCAGGAGCGCATTCACAAAATTAAGCTTGAGAAAGCGAACTCTAACGAAATTAGATATGATGTCGACTCCATAGACATTAATGTGTCACAAGAAGCATTCGAAAGGGACAGGATCAAAATATACTAATTATTATACTCAATGGTTTAATTTTATTTTTTTATTTTATAAGAACAAATAAATAACTAACTATAAATCACATGTTACAATTAATTCAAACAGAATGCGATTTATATATATCAAATATAGAACCATATATATTAATATGTATTAAAAAAATGTTAATTAAATATATTATATATAAGTGTGTACTGAGAGAGAAAATAACACAATATAATAATTTAACTTCATTATTCTTTCCTTCGCAATTAACTCTTTCGCGCTGATAATCGATTCTCGTGGCAGCTCCTCTCGCCCCCCAGTGTTCCTCGGATACGAGATGAATTCTCCAAACAGCAATTACTTTCCTTCGGCGCGTTAGGTCGATCGGCCTGGACCGCAACAAGCGGCTGCCCGGATGCATCCTTCTTTTCTTGTCGCGCGCGCGCAAAACTACCGGCAAGCGCGATAGATTGTTCGTTGGTGAAAACTTTTCAATTCCAAGCTTGTACGTATGTACGTACGTACGTCCGCGGGACGTTTCTCCCTCGTCGCTGAGTTTCCGGAAAGCTCGCACGGAATCAATTATCCGCGACCGAAGCCACATGTCGTAGCTTGAGGATACTCCGGGGGCGAATCCGTCGGCGCGCGTGTTACACGCGAATGTCCCGAACATACGTGCGCACGCGCGCGCGCGCGCGCGAGTGTCGGTGTCATCCAATTTGCGCGCTCTGGCGTCGTTGAGAGCCGCCGATGCCTTCTCGCACGCGATGTGCAACGAAGAGAGAGAGAGACGAGATGTGTGTTGTCCGTCTCTTTGCTAACTCTCGCAATCCGCCGTGTGTACCGAATACGCATGTTGCAGGTATCGGATAACAATTACCGCTACCGACACTTCTAGCACGTTCCACCGAATGTGCAAACTCAAGTTCCTTGCGGCCGCTCTGTCTCGTCGCGAGAAATAGCTCACTTTCAGCGAGCTATCACTTTTATCATTAAAACTCTCCGGGATTCTTCTTCCTTATATGTATAAGTTGCGCAGATCGATTAACACACGTACTTTCTACAGCTACAAAACTCGAAAAATAAATTCGAAAAATAAAACTATTCGAATATTAAAAAATTGAACAATTTGAAAAATGTAAACAAAACTTTTAAAGCGTAAACAACAAAACAACAAAAATCACAAGAATCTACGAAAAATAGACAGATACGAATAAGGTGAAATAAATCGAAAGCTCGAATAAACGGTTTTTTTCACGGGTGGCGATATCTTTTCGTAGTCGGGACTACGCCACTTTTGTCAATCCTCTTTTCAGCGAGGACCGTAATGGCCGAAGAGGACCGTTTCGCAATTGACTCGATGCAAATGTCGATCGAGTTTACATCCGTGTAAACCTTCCGGCAACGTGAGCGGATCCCCGAATGACATGGGCCGCGTGCACGTAATTTTGATTACAACTTGTACGTGAACGGGGTCGCACCGTCCCCGTTGGGGATGGAACAGCGACGCCGGTACCGTCACGAGGGAAGGAAGGGCGCGCGAATAGGGCAAGTCCCGGGGGAGGGGGGAGATGGCGTGTAATAACCAGGCAAATCTACGCTCCTGTTAACGTTGCACGACCAAGCCCCGTGGCCCTATGTCAACGGTCGGGCCTATATACGCGCAAATATAAACGGGACAATACGACGCTTGATACCGCAATTGCGACATTCGCGCGCGACAACGGCGCATCGCGCGGCCCACTGATGCGCTTCTCTCGCCTTGCCGAGTCCGCGTATCGGGGAAACATTAATATGCGCGCGTCAAAATACACACCCCCCTCCCCGTGCGCAGCAAAATAAACGTGCGCTGAATAGAATACAGGGCGCGAAAAGGATGTCTCGGTTATTACGATAGCGTGGTAATATTATAAAATTGTTTATTTGTTTCGTGTGAAATAATAACAATGCAAATACGTTCTTGCGTTTTCAATTTTCTCAAACATATTATCCGATGTTATTATTTCCCGCGCGAAACAGCGCGAACTTAAAAACATTTAGAAAATACAAAAGAAGAAACTAACAAAAAAACAAAAAATAATTAACGGAAAAGTGATGGAAATAATTGCGTGCTTGTTTAAAACTTTTATAATTGTTCAGTACTTCTATCTATGAAGTTATACTTCAATAACGACACGCACAGTGTGTGACGCTCGTACATAAAGCTCTTTTTTCATTCTAAAAAAAAACACCTACCAATTTTTTAATTAAAATATTGCAGTTTGTTCACACATGTATGTGGAGTAAAAATGAGTTTTTATTCGATGCTGAATGAATAACAATTCTTTTATTTCTTTCCGCCATTATTTGCGTACATAACATGCGGGTAGCATTATTGATCAATTTTTCACACTGATGTTGAAATGAAATGACGCAAAACACACGAGACGTATGTCGTGCGTGTGTGTGTGTGCGATTCTTGATAATAATATGTAATTTTCAAAGATGTGCGTATATCTTTATCAAAATCCTTACCCTAATAATTACGAATACATACGTTTAGGGTTAGATAACGCGAACGCTCGTTGTGAATAATGGCAAACGGTGAGCGGAAATATGAACGGACACATGAACGTGCGCGCTTGATTCCTAATTGCAACCGACCGCGTGACACGTTTCTGCTTGTTATATCGTATACGTAGGTGTATACCCTCCTGCGCACACAGCGCGGAGCTCGACGCACACCTTCTTCCAATTACGCAAATGTTGTTCAACTTCGTCAGGAAAAAAAAAAAAAAAAAAAAGAAAAAAAAACTAACACGCCGACAATTAACATACAAATGATCGGCAAATTCATTCGCGCGAATAACAAATAACCGGCGAGCCTTCAAAGCTCGTTGCCTTTAAATTTGTAAACAACGACTCATTATCACGTACCATTTGTGCCATCAATAACGTTTAATTAAATTTGACCAATGATCAACTCGATACACCGACCGTGTAATTATCGATGTCTGAAATATATGGGGAAACAATTCGCTCGGCATTATTATTATTGTGTGCATTATTCATTTTTAATAACGTCGTATTGTGTTACGCTCACCCGGCTCGATTGGTTTGTATAGTTTTGCGATTGATTAGAACTTTAAACAGAGAACGCGCGCAACCGTGATTTTCGCGAAAAACAAGGAAATTACGCTGAGCGTATATCGCGCCGCGATACTCTCTGCCCGCACCGCTTGGGTGGGCAAAAGCCAGTTTTCACCGGCATTACAAGCAGAACAGCCGGCATTTCGCGTAAACGTTGTGTTTATTCATCCAGGTTGGACACGACGAGCACGATTCGAAGTCAGTGGCGGAAATGTTTTTGAAGAGAGAGAGAGAGAAGAGTCGTTGTAGCGTGTAGCGCGCGGTGTATTTTGCACGCGACCTCGTGTGTGATTATTATACGGAAATGTTGACGAGTGCGGCGTCAAAAAATCGCGTCGAGTTCATGTTCATAAAAGCCAAGCGGCAAAAATAAATACGTTATTTAATTCGACAGACATATGTGAAACGCCGCGCTTTCGCGACGTTTCTTAAATGACGCTTTTACGAAAAATTGATGTAAGAAATTGGATTTGTTAGACAATAAATATGTTCATATACATATATATGTATACACCGAAAAAATTGTATTCTTGTTTTGAGGAGATATCCCACTTACTTTAAGTATATTTTATACTAAAATAGGCGCCAAGGAGAGTTTCTTATTTTAAGAGGAAACTCCTCTAAATAGTAATATTGATAAGAATATATACTGATTAGAATATAAAAAGCCTCTATAGAAAAACATATATATCTCACTATCGAAAAAGACTATATTCTTAAATAAAGAATATATTTTTAATTTCAGAAGAATATCATCTAAAATCTTTAAGAAGATTTTTTAAGTATAAAATCTTCTACTTACAAGAATATAATTTTTTCGGGGTGTATACATGTATATGATATTAAAAAAATAAAGTATAAAAATAGTAGCGTCGTGTGTTTTATAACTTCGCATTACATCCGATTTACGACTCGAGCGTGCGTAATTATTTGGATTCTTCATTAGCATAACAGTGTGGGACCTTAAAATCGCAACGACCAGCTGCATTTATTAGGATTAGTTTCGAGGTTGGTGAGGCAATTAACTTAAACTATCGCTCGAAATGCCATCGCAGGCAGCCGCTGCGTTGACCACAGCCCACGCCGCTGTGTTCGCTATTATGGGCAAGATAGAACATGCAAATTTCTTGATCGTTTGAAGTTTGCGGGATATTACGCGGCGAATCTAACACGCCCCCAATTATCCCCCCCACCCCACCTCATGTGACCCCGACGTGTCATTCGAAAGAAAAATAATGAGCAACGTCATTGTCGTCGCGGCACAACGACCGTGACAAGCATCTCCTGCCAATTACATCAACGTCTCACGTTCTTTTACGAACGTATTTTACAACACACGTAATGGTATGCGCATTATTTATTATGCGAATATATTGCATGCTAATTATTTTATTGATACTGCATAATGGAGCATGATTCGGGTGGCGAAAATTAAAAGATTACCAAAGTAAATTATTAATTTACACGTCGCTATTATATTCAGAGGATTGATTTAATAATCAATATGGGTTATCAGCGGGAATGAATATAAATAGTGTCCGACCGGTTATTATACATCAATTAATGTAAAACAAATGTAATAATAAAAATCTATACTATAATTGTAAAATATAAATACAAGAATAAATAAATAAATATACACATAACGTAATATAAACCGGGAAAATTATTTTTGTGCAACAATGCGGGTAATATAAACACGCGCGCGCGCGCAAAGAGATATTTATATTTATTAATAATAACTGACCTCTCGTAATAGTTATTTACATTATATATACATAAACTTATAGCAGCGCTGTGTGATGGTTAAAATGAATTCATTCTCGCGCTCTTCGTGCAAAAGCAAAGCACCGTCCGTTAAGAGTAATGAGATGCCACTGCACGTTCCATTAAACAAGCTATCGTTCCTGCGTATCCCGCAGGAAACCACGGCGGGAGTACACGATGACCGACGATACTCGAGACAAGATGAAGGATGCATAATCCTTATATAATCGTTCCTTCATC